TAATAATTTGCATAACTACCACCAGAAGTAGATTTTTCTCCCTAGGAAGCTAGTTTGCAAAGAAAATGTTATTAATTTTCTTTGTAGTCTGTTAGTTTTTATCTCCTGGTACACCACAGCATTATTTTTAAAAGAAATGTTCTTTTGTTTTGTTCTGTTTTTAATTTGGGGCATTTTCCTTAAAATAAGACAGTCTGCCATATTTTGGTAATAATATGATATAATACAATATAATGCCATGTTTTTTCATTAATTCATATTGGTCACCATTGGCTTTTTCTAATGACCTTTTCTACATTTTCAGGGTGAAACAAAGATCTTAAAACTAAAGAATCTTCGACCTCAGGACTATGCTAATTATAGCTGCATCGCTTCAGTGAGGAATGTATGTAATATTCCTGATAAGATGGTGTCATTTAGACTTTCCAATAAAACAGGTATGGAACTACCTCTGAATGTTTTATGTCTGTTTTCACAACTAATGTTTAAAAAGACTCTAACTTTCTTACAGACCAAATGATTTCTATAATGTATTTAGGAACAATGCATCTTTTTTCCCAGAAAAATCTGTGATATCTGAAAAGCTTTTGGTAAATGGAGAGTGCAAACTGTGATTGTAATATGCTCCCTTGTAATCAGTTTATTTATATACATGAAAAATTATAATTCCTTAAAATGTTAAATTCATAAATGTCATAAGCAGGCCTATATCCTTGCTCAAAAAGAAATTTGAGAAATATTAGATTCTGCATATAAAAATTTATGATCCAAATTGCTGAAAGTGCTTTGTGATCTCAAAGCTAAGTAAAAGAACCTCTCTTTTACTCTGTTTCAATTAAGAAAGCTAACTGGTAAGTTCAGGTAGGTGCTTTTAGGAATGTATTTTTATAGAAAATGTCAAAAGAAGATTGCAATTCAAGTTAGCCTGTGTTTAGTAATACAGTCCTCAGAAAAACTGCAAAGATATTAAGAAGAAATTGCTACATGAAAAAGCAAAGAAAGAGCATTTGAATTAACTATCTTTGGTATGATGGTGTATAAAGAATCATCTTAATAAATTAGAACTTGAACTGGTTTTGCAGAACTTTCAGTGGCTAGTAATATACATTTTTATTTTTAAATAACTATGTTAAAATAAAGAGTTTTAAAAGTACTTTTCCCATTAACAAATACCTTGAAAATTCTGGGCTTTGTGTGCCTGTGTTTAGGTTCTTCCACTTCTTGGCTGTTGGGTCTTGTTGAACAAGTCACTTCACTCCTCTTTGCTTCAATTTTCTTAGAAACTCATGAAAGAATTAATGAGTTGATAAAATATGTGGAACAGATTTTATTAACTTTTCCAATAAAGAGCTAGTCAAAAATCTATCCAGTTCACTTGATGAAAAGATTAAACCAATAAAGATTGGAAGATGAAAAAAATGTGTGCTCCACTGAGATGTTGAAATTTTGAAAGGTCATTTCTTTACTTCATTTATTCATCAGAAACTTACTGGGGTCCTGTTATGTGTCAGCAATGGTAGGCATAGAGAAATTAGCTAAGATGTTAATTGCCTCAAAGTAGAGAAGTGCCCTACTAAGTACTAGATCAGTCATTAGAGGAAAGTTAAAGAAGAATGTGGGAGACAAAAGTAAATTTTATCAGAAAGGATGAGAAAGACTTGATGGAAACTATGTTTCAGAAAAAAATAGAAATCCGTATAAAATCTTAGTNATTTAACTGAGGAAAAAGCCAAAGTGTGCCTGATTTAACACTGTATTTTGACAGTGAATGAAAGTAATTATGGCCTCAATACTCATGTACACTGAAGGAGAATACCCTTGGAAAACTGTGTCTGCCTGTGTGGACAAGCTTTTCTGTGAATGAACAGGCAGTGTTGTTATGTACTGTTGATCCTTTCTGTATTCTGATCCTTCTGGGGAGTGTTTGAAAGTATTACAACTTTTAGGACTTGAGTAATGTTACTTACAGAAAATAAAAGAATACATGGTTCTGTACAGATGTTATCTGGAAAAATTAATATTTTGAAAACTGCTGTACTGAATATGATTTCACTGGGATATTGTTTACCATTTCCATCGTTAAGTTACTTAAGAAAGGAACTATTTTGTGAGGATGCATTAAATACTTTAAAATTAAAGAAATCCCTAAAGCCCTATTTTAAGCTGGGTAAGAGGATTCTTTTTCTTTTCTTTTTGTTTCTTTACTCTTTTATCCTTTGAACAATTTCATTATTTTTATATGGTCTTTCCTGGCTTATTGAGAGTTTGTAAGATATTTCTGTCCACTTGCCTGATTTGAGTCTATCTGCACATTCAATTGTGAGACCTAGATCTTGAACTCCTCATATGAAATAACCAGAACAGTAATAACATAGGAACACTCATGAATGCTTCTATAATGAAGTTTTAGAGCTGTCACTGATCCATATACACAAAATATTTTTGTATATAAACTTCATTATCTGTCATTAGATTGACTTCATTAACTTTGTGCTACAAACAGTGTTTCACTTATTGGCTCCTCTTCAGAATTTTTTTCTTTCATTTCCTGTTTAATTCTGCAGAGGGTGTAGTGTTGTTGAACAAACTCTATTATTAAGTACACTGTTCTGATCTTTGCATAATAATTTGCATAACTACCACCAGAAGTAGATTTTTCTCCCTAGGAAGCTAGTTTGCAAAGAAAATGTTATTAATTTTCTTTGTAGTCTGTTAGTTTTTATCTCCTGGTACACCACAGCATTATTTTTAAAAGAAATGTTCTTTTGTTTTGTTCTGTTTTTAATTTGGGGCATTTTCCTTAAAATAAGACAGTCTGCCATATTTTGGTAATAATATGATATAATACAATATAATGCCATGTTTTTTCATTAATTCATATTGGTTACCATTGGCTTTTTCTAATGACCTTTTCTACATTTTCAGGGTGAAACAAAGATCTTAAAACTAAAGAATCTTCGACCTCAGGACTATGCTAATTATAGCTGCATTGCTTCAGTGAGGAATGTATGTAATATTCCTGATAAGATGGTGTCATTTAGACTTTCCAATAAAACAGGTATGGAACTACCTCTGAATGTTTTATGTCTGTTTTCACAACTAATGTTTAAAAAGACTCTAACTTTCTTACAGACCAAATGATTTCTATAATGTATTTAGGAACAATGCATCTTTTTTCCCAGAAAAATCTGTGATATCTGAAAAGCTTTTGGTAAATGGAGAGTGCAAACTGTGATTGTAATATGCTCCCTTGTAATCTGTTTATTTATATACATGAAAAATTATAATTCCTTAAAATGTTAAATTCATAAATGTCATAAGCAGGCCTATATCCTTGCTCAAAAAGAAATTTGAGAAATATTAGATTCTGCATATAAAAATTTATGATCCAAATTGCTGAAAGTGCTTTGTGATCTCAAAGCTAAGTAAAAGAACCTGTCTTTTACTCTGTTTCAATTAAGAAAGCTAACTGGTAAGTTCAGGTAGGTGCTTTTAGGAATGTATTTTTATAGAAAATGTCAAAAGAAGATTGCAATTCAAGTTAGCCTGTGTTTAGTAATACAGTCCTCAGAAAAACTGCAAAGATATTAAGAAGAAATTGCTACATGAAAAAGCAAAGAAAGAGCATTTGAATTAACTATCTTTGGTATGATGGTGTATAAAGAATCATCTTAATAAATTAGAACTTGAACTGGTTTTGCAGAACTTTCAGTGGCTAGTAATATACATTTTTATTTTTAAATAACTATGTTAAAATAAAGAGTTTTAAAAGTACTTTTCCCATTAACAAATACCTTGAAAATTCTGGGCTTTGTGTGCCTGTGTTTAGGTTCTTCCACTTCTTGGCTGTTGGGTCTTGTTGAACAAGTCACTTCACTCCTCTTTGCTTCAATTTTCTTAGAAACTCATGAAAGAATTAATGAGTTGATAAAATATGTGGAACAGATTTTATTAACTTTTCCAATAAAGAGCTAGTCAAAAATCTATCCAGTTCACTTGATGAAAAGATTAAACCAATAAAGATTGGAAGATGAAAAAAATGTGTGCTCCACTGAGATGTTGAAATTTTGAAAGGTCATTTCTTTACTTCATTTATTCATCAGAAACTTACTGGGGTCCTGTTATGTGTCAGCAATGGTAGGCATAGAGAAATTAGCTAAGATGTTAATTGCCTCAAAGTAGAGAAGTGCCCTACTAAGTACCAGATCAGTCATTAGAGGAAAGTTAAAGAAGAATGTGGGAGACAAAAGTAAATTTTATCAGAAAGGATGAGAAAGACTTGATGGAAACTATGTTTCAGAAAAAAATAGAAATCCGTATAAAATCTTAGTGGACCTAAAACTTACAAAAGTTAATAATCTTATTTCACTTGAAAAAGAAATAGGATATTGAGAAATAAAAATCAGAGAGTAACATATGAGAACTGTGTCTGTGTAGGGAAATTGGAAGTTCCATGCATGGCCAGGATCCTGACCCTGCTCCGCTTTCCCACTGCACACGTGCAGTGCTCTCAGGTGCAGGCTTGCACACGTGTTGGCAGTGAGCTATTATTGACTCTATATGAAAGAGCTCTGCCCAGTGCTCTGGGGCTGCTGTAGCTGAGAAGCCAGGAGGCAGAGCCTGACTTGCTGCATGCAGACTGCCCTGGAGGTGGACATGATTCTAGCACTCCACCTGCCATCACGAGAAAAAAGCTTGGTGTAAAATCATTTACCCCCAAAATGTTCTGTTACCATTTTTCGGTCTCACTGAATCCAGAGTGAACTTGCCCAGGGCTGAAACCCTCAGGTGAGACAGAATAATTATGTTGTTCTTAGTATTAATTATTTTGTGAATTATTATAAATGATTTTGTTTTCTTAGTTTAATTTTTTTTTCAAAATAATATGACCCAGAGAAACAAATTAAAAATAAAATGCAGGTTCTTCCTATGGGATGGGTAAAGTAGGTCCTATTGTAATGATGTGAGGAGGAGTGAAATAGTAGATATATTATTATTTATGTTATGTTCTTGCACTTATTTTTAAAGTTATTTGTTATCTTTATAACTACTAGGATGTAAGCAGGTAGAGGATTTTTAAATTACATCTGATCCATAACAGACTGGCCTACAGTAATGAAAATATCCGTATACTGGTTTTTTTGAGAATCAATAATATCAACATAAACCAAACTTCTTTAAAGACTCAGAGGTACAATAAAATTACATTTAATATTTTTTTTGTTCAGAAATGTACGGTCTTATGATTTCCCAGTGTCTACAGCTACAAAGAAGTGGGGACAAAATTGATCCCAATGTTTGAAGAGTTATTTTAAATAGGAGACTGATTAATTACTTGAAATTTTTGTGGAACTGGAAAAAATGAACTTAAATCTCAGCCAGAGACTTTTATTAGGAATAATTAAGGACTGCTTGCCATAAAACCGAAAGGAAAAGA